CTTGAGTAAAGAAGTTTAATCAGTACTTCCACTTTTACCAGAGTATTTTTTAACACAAGTATCTGTACTTTTACTCAAGTACGGAAAGTGAGTACTTTTGCCATCTCTGATTTATATACATTACACTTACCAGAGTTGCTCCAGAAATGCATCCTTCCTTTTTTGTGCAGGAAGTCTTAGTATCTCAATTTAGTATCAGCAATTGAGGCCAAAAAACTTTTAACAAAAGGGAATCTACAGTATTTGTGTATATAGATATAACATTGTATATGTGTGTATATACAGTATGTAACAGTTGGGTAAAATACTCTCCTCTGCTCTGATCATTCTAATCAAAATAATTTTTTTACTGTTGTCTTACAGCTGAGGGAATCATACGGAAATGTCTACAGTCTGTTCATTGGTAGAAAACCAGCTATTATCATCAATGGGTTTAAGGCAATGAAGGAGGCCATTGTGATTAAATCAACTGATTTTGCTGGAAGACCCCAAGACCTTTTTATAAATGATGTCACACAGAGAAAAGGTAGAGTATGTGTTTAGAGAAAGGTTGTGAGATTCAAATTCAGTAACATCATTCCATCTTTTTTCAACAATGGACCGTAGTAATTGTAATGCTTTTCCATTTGAGAGCATCAGTCAAGTCAGATTCTGTTTTGTTTTTTTTAACGGAATAATTCAGCTCTGAATTATTTAGGATCTACAATAAAATGGTTTATATAACAAAGGCTAAAATTAGTGTATACCAAAAAAGCAGGTTTATATAAAACCCCGAGCACACACACTAGCAAACATTTTACCTATATAAATCACAAAGCTGTGTACAAGGTTCCACCTCATGTTTTGACCTCTGCAAGCTCACATTCAACCATTAAAGGTCCTTGCAAAGAAACCAATTCATATTAATGTATATGAAATGAAACTGATCACTGTTTCTTCATAGTTATTAGCAACCATTGAGAAAAAAAAGAGCAATGAAGCTCCCTTTCACCCAGGCAGAACCCAGTGCGTTTGTGAGTTAGGTAGAAAATCAAAAATGTCCTGTTTAATAGACACTTGTTAGAGTGATGAATAAAATGAGGTGTTGTGATTGGCAACAGATCATGGTAATCAATCCAACAAAATTCCCTTTTCTTTTGTATTTGTTTTCAGTAAAATTCAAGGCAAGACAGAATGCAGGATAACTCAAAAAGCGTTTATTAAAACACTGATCTGAGGTTGCAGTGACTAAGGCATCTGAGGCAGGAAACTCTGGAGAGAGGAAACACAGTTTAGTGACCACATAAATATAACAGAGGAAGATTATGAAAGTGAGTCACTACTGCAGACATCCCAAGTTCCAAAAACTCATTTCAGGGATATGCTTATCATACACCCCCACCCCAAACACACACACACACCCCGGGGACAACGGACCCGCACCGTGCCCCATACCTACACACTTAAGGCCAGCAACTTTTCAACAACTGTCTATTAATGACTAAGAGTAAATTCTTAAACACAAAACAGAACAGTATCGCTCTTTTATTTTCAATATTTTCAATCTTGTAGCCTTGAACATCAGTTGTGCTTTTTGTTTTTCATGGGACTTCCACATACAGTGCACCTCGCCACGGTGTCATCATTCGTCACCATGGTTCTAGAAAGGGGCCAACAGGGGCCAGAAATTGTAATGATGATCTGCGCTGGAACACACATGGTTACTGATAGGTCCTTTGGATCTATTTAACTCTTTTTCTCAAAAAATTCTATTTTATTAATTATTCAAAAACAATAAGGTGATAGCTTCGGTGGTATTAAGATAGGATCCCAGTTTTCATCTGCCAAATGTTTCTTTTTTTTTCACAACAAATAAAAACAATGCTCTAATTTTTACAGATGAATTTTACTGTTTTTCTTAAGTTCTAATTAAAATTTTATTGAAAACGGTAGTTTTAACTTAAATTAAATCAAAAGTATGTAAAATTCCTAAATTATAAATGTATATTGACCTCATAAGAAATTGAATTTTTATTGAACCTAAGTGAAAAGAAATTTCACTTCATGCGGCTCTCTTAATATATTTGAATCCCTTGCCCTGTTTTTTATTTCATGCTTTTCTGTGTTCCCATCAAAACACACTGGCCCCCTCCTGGCCCCCTGGTAAATTTGGTCTAGATCTGCCACTGTTCCTCACCTTCACTAGACGTGGATATATTTAACTATATTCTGCTGTAAAATTTCGTCTTATATTTTCGTTTTTTACTCGAGGATTCAACCTCTTTCACAGGAGGCACAGCGTAAAGTTATTGGACTGATCCAATCAGCTCTCTGACAACCAGTTGCCTTGAACGATCACTGAACAGAGCATCGCTTTGGACAGATTCGCACAGGTTTCACCAGCAACCTCCTCCCAACTCTGCTCTCTCTTGTTGTCTGTAATCGCAGTAGTTCTAATCCGCACATGGTGAATGAGTTATCATACTGCCCGCTCTCACTCGCATTAAAAAACACCACCTCGCATAGTCTAAAATCCGGGATAATTTATCCGACTCTCAGGCATGAGTGAACAACTATCTATATCAGGGAGACTCCCGGGAACTTCCGGGAGACTTGGGATGTCTGCTAACGTGGTTTACAAGATCAGTCCATAGCCAGAGAAAAAGGTAGGATCCAGCCGTAGGGCAGCCAATAACACGTGGCAGGCGCTGCCCAGACTGTCCCACATGCTGCAGCCCCGGAGAACATGCAGAAGTGCAGAGCCAGGTCAGGCAAACAGATCAGAACAGGAACAAGCAAGCTCAGAGGTCCAGGAGTTCAAAGCCAGGTCAGGCAAACAGATAGAAACAAGGCAGAGTTAGACAGGTGAATGGAATGAATAATTAAGCCAGTCATCCGTGCCAAGATAATGACAGAGGCTGTCAATAGTCACTGCTGCCACCCTCTGGTTTAGATAGGAACTGCTTGTTCCACCATTGTAAAGCTCACAATGTTAGAGAATATCTAACAAACTTACAAACAAACAAACAAACACATTAACTCTCCTAAAAACATACTCATTGGCAGGGGTAAGAACAAACGCAATTAAAATGACACATGAATAAGTTTGTACACTCGATAACTCTGGAAACAGCATGGGGGCTTCTGCTATGAACACATAAAATGTATCTGTGTTTCAGCCACGGCTCCATCTTCTAACTACCTTTGGTCTTCTTTGCTTTTTTACAAGGCAGTAAGTTCCAGCTGCAGATAACATGACTCTTGTGATGCGGGGAAAAAAGTGCTTCCATTGCTTTTTTGCAAAATCTAAGAAGTTCTACAGGACCGAAAGACCACCCCATTAAAGCATAAGATTTTTTTTTTAATTTTTCAAAATTGCAGCGTTAACATTTAGCAAACTTATTTTCACAATTTAGTGGTTAAATGAAACACACCTACTGAGAGGAAAATTCAGTCTATGAACCCTCGATTTCTTCAATTCCCAACTGACTAGTATCAAATGGGCTCGCTCCGCTTTTATTTATTTAGCTCAAACTATCACTGATTTATGTAATTATTTTAACATAACATTTATTCATGTAAATCTTTGCAATTACTGTAAATTACTTTTATTCAATTCACTATATTTTATTTAAAGAGTTTTTATTTTTAGTTGGACTCTCTATTGTAGGGGTGATTATGGCTGACTATGGCCCTATGTGGAGGGAGCATCGTCGCTTTGTCCTAATGACCCTCAGGAACTTTGGCCTGGGAAAGAAGTCAATGGAAGACAGAATCCTTGACGAGATTCAACACACAATTAAGACACTGGAAAATAACAATGGTACGGCTTTTATTGTTTGAAATTCCATATATTTCAACACACATTTTTTTTTCTTTTCTAATTCTGTATCATATTGTGTTATCAGGGAAGCTTTGTGACAGCCTTTAAATGCACTTGTGACTGTGTCCTACACTCTTCCATATGCATGGTCATATGATACTAAAACATAAAATTAACAATAGTTATCAACTTTGTAGTTTTATGAAAATTTTCCCCTTACAAAAAATTTATTTATAATACATTTGTTAATAAATAATGTATAATAAATGTTTTTGGGTCCATTTCAAATAACTTTTTGTCCCTCCAAGCTTGTGTCTTTTGACCTGTTTTAAGGACATTACATCACATTGAACAGCCTGTAGTCTGTTTTTCCATTTAAATTTTTTGTGTGACTCCAAATCCAGGCCTCCATTGGTTAATACATTAGAGAGAGATTTTAAAGATGTATAGAGAAATATATAGAGAGTTATATATATAGAATATAGACAGAGAGCAGTCATTTAAATTCAACTTTATCAATTTGGCTAGCAAAGTCTGTATAATTCATTTAAACAGGACAATTTAAATAGTCTGTGATGGAACTGTTTGTTTGGAACTATGTTGTTTGCCACCAGTTTTACTTAACATCATGTCTTTCCAGGTAAAACTCTGAGTCCTCAGGTCATGTTTCATAACGCTGCCTTCAACATCATCTGTCAGGTTCTGTTTGGAGTGCGCTATGGGTACGACGATGAGACCATAAAACTCATTGTTAGATGTTTTGCTGAAATGACTAAAATAGCCAACGGTCCATGGGCAATGGTAAGTTACGACATAATTTAATACAATGCTACTTGACAAAAAAGGCAGAGTAATAAAGCAATTAAATACTGTATAAAATAAACATTTGAAATCTAATAGCATTAACTGTATTGTATAATGTTTTACCTAGGGGAACCCTTGTCATAATCTGAATTTTAATATGGGTTACAGAAAATTAGATGGACCTGTCATAAAACTGTAATAATGCAATTTCAGTGTTTTGATTTAAAATACACGTTGTTCAAACATGTGCAGTCTTAATCCTTTCTATTCTGGAACTACCAGCTATGTCATGTCAAATCCCTATGAAGAAGATGACAGATAATTTCCAATCCTAAAATATTTTAATTTTATTTTAATAGATTTCTATAAATATATGCATGTATTTCAGCATAAAGACAGCCTTGAAAGAGTAAATGTGATATTTCAACAACAGTGGATGGAGGAGAAGCAACATTTCTTCTTAGGCATATGCATTCAGTCCCTGAGTCATTACTTGGTAAAAACAATTTTTACTGCTTTTGCACCTGGAAGTTGTTTTAGGGAATGCCTCAACCAGTTCTATACAAATAATGACAAATTCTGCCCAATCAGACTGGATGCAGTCTCTCTGACTGACTTTCAAGACATGCCTTGGATTTTTTTTTCTTTTGCCACATTTATTTTTGTTACTTTGACCATACCATTGTAGCAGAGGAATATGCTTTCATCTCAACCATTCCATTCTAGATCCGGTTATTGTTTATCATGGTGGCTGAGGGGTGTAAGAAACTCAAGATACTTAACTGGGTATCTTGGGTTTCTGAAGGTTCAGAGAAAAGAAAACTTCAGTTATATGGAGCTAGTTTATGGTTTTTGTTTTTATTTTTGATCTTTTTTCTTGTTCTACATGGAGAATATTCCCTTTGCATGTGTTTAGTGTATTGGCATCATTTATGTATTTGCTTCAAATTTTGTGTATGCAGTAAATCTGTGTTTGCTGTTCTTTATTTTCTGGGATTGCAGTATTGCTTCATTCCAGTATTTTTCATTTACATGTATTTTTAGTTCTGTATTAGCTAAATTTTTGTGCTTGCAGCACTTTTTCTATTTGCTAACTGTTTGTAGCCCTCGCCCACCGAAGCTTAGGATAGTGAGACTGCTAGATTTTATGGATTTTTTTGCAGGATTTTTATGTATGTAGCTCAATCCATCTTTCTTTTAGCTTTGGCTATATTCTCTGGGTCTACTAAAGAAAAGCATAATTTTTTTTTTTTTCTTAATGCCGCATTATAAATAAAATCCTATATATGGATAAGTAAGAGATGCAAGAATGCATTAACTTTAAAAGATTTCTGATATTTTAAATTAGTAGATCATTAACCTTAATGGAAATCATTTAACAGATATCTACAAATATCACAAAAAGTCCTAAGATAAATTTAAATGGGTGTGTGTATGGTTGTATATTTTTTACTATTATTTTTTGGACATATGCTCCATTCTGGGAACTAATATGTACTAGGGAACAAGGATCGGTTTGCACAAGAAGATCTCCTCTCAGGGTGCGGGTTAAGTTTAGCATTAGGCATTTGTTGGTAATGGCTAAGGCAATTGTCAGCATTAGGCTATAGAAATTAATTCAATATGAATGGAAGTCACTGGAAAGTCCCCACAAGTATAATGTGATATGTGTGTAAAAAGTCAGATTCTGAGACCAGTAATTCTAAAACTTAAGTCGTTTGATCTAATAGGGCACCTATTTTCAACAGCTGTATGACTCTATCCCTTTAATTCGTCACCTGCCGCTGCCCTTCAACAAAGCCTTTGAAAACATGGAGGTAAACATGGAGTAAATCCAGCAACATAACATCTGTTAGAAAAAAGTTTATTAATACTTTCTTTATATTTTAGATTTTCCTAAGTGTTTCGAGACGTTTGATAAATGAACACAAAAAAACTAGAGTCCCAGGAGAGCCAAGGGATTTTGTCGACTGCTACCTGGATGAACTGGAAAATGTACGTAAACACAACAAACAATTATTGTTATAAAATGTGGAGTAAATTTTGCTTCATTATTTTTGCAAGCAATGGAAACATATTGTAAATGGAAAAGGAAAAAACAAATTTAAGTTCAATTTTAAAATATAAAATCTGGGGAAAAAAAAAAATGTAAATAAAAAAGGTAAATGGAATGTACTTACATAATGCTTCTGACCAAATATGTATATGACCAAAGTACATTCAGTCATTCACAGCATTCCAGGCTGCTGCCTTGGGGCTCACTAACAAAAGCAAGGCCCCCATATGCAGTCGCCCCAAGCCTTCTGTCCAACATCAGTAGGCAATACAAGTGGAGTGTCTTGCCCAGGGACACAACGTCACTAAAAGCCATAGCCAGGGTTTGAAACGACAACCCTTTCTTCCATCAAGAATAAAGTGTGTTAAGTTATGCAAAAGGTGATACTGTTTAGAGTTTAAACACGGTTTGTGCTTGTCTTGAAATATTCTCTTTGTTTAGAGACACTATGGTTCTACGTTTTCTGAGGAGCAGCTAACAAGAATCACTTTTGACCTTTTTGTTGCGGGGACCGACACCACCTCCAACACCCTCCTTACTGGGTTTCTCTACCTCATGAACTTCCCACACATACAAGGTAGATTTTCTAATCTCACCTTAGTAATTGAGTCCGGTAGATTCGACCTGCAAAACACCACAGCAAAAAAAGAAATATGTTCTTACAATGGAATAGTATAAATAATTTAAGGTACAAAGTTAATTGTGGACTTAACATTATTTTTAGTTGTGTAACAGTACTCAAACTAAAATGTATTCGGGGTTGGGGGGGGTTTGGTAACAACATACAGCTGTGTGCTAACACAATATAAAGGTGTAAATTAATCAGCAATGAGTTTAGGAAAACAACTGCTGGTGTGTATCAGTCCAAAAAATCCTTCTCAAAGACCCTAAGGCTCCTAGTTTTACAATAACAGAAGAATGGGACAGATGTAAGCAAAGAAAAAATTATTCAAGATGCACTATTGTATACTTAACATTTGTAGATTCGATGTGAGGCCTTCTTTTTACCGGATGTTCAAAAGACCTTTAAGTAGTTTAAGTTAGATGTTGAGGTTTACCGTTTGTATTCTGTGATTTTTGTTCAGCGTTACTTATTTCCCATAAGGCATACCATAGCTAGTGTAGAGATTGCGTCATCACATTGCTGTAGCCCATGTTGCTGATACACGGGGGTAAGACTTGGAAGATGTGCCTGGTCGCCTTATAAGTGTGCGTCATTGACGAGAAACCACACACACTCTTACCCAGATAAACCGTAACAAACGTCTATGGTCACCCTAACCCTAACCACTCCAGGTTGAGAGCAGTAATAAACACGAACAGTGCCTTTAAATGCTTCAACCCAAGAGCAAACTCACCTACATCAGAACTTGTCATGAACTAATTAATGAACGTGAATACTGGCCTACTAAAGCACAGACCACAACCTCCTTACAGTCCCCCTGCAGGATCATAGAAGGGCTTCCCATTAACTGGTTAGATCTTAATTTACATATGTTGTTGATTACAACATACATACAGCTATCCAAAACTAAGGCCAAGCTTGGGTAACATTGCTAATCTTATCGATGTTGATTTTCTTTGGTCCTTCAGAAAAATGCCATAGAGAGATAGACCTGGTGCTGGCTGGGAAGGATCGGGTCACTTTCGAAGACAGACTCAGCATGCCTTACATGCAGGTGCTGTGCTGCAACCACTGATGTTATGCTTTCCAGCATATTACTGTGGTTTAAAAAACATGCAGCGGGCTGTCAGGTAAACTCAAGTTTTATAGCATTCAAACAGAGTTTGGAAAACTTTTTTTTTTGCAGGCTGTGATCCATGAAATTCAAAGGATTGCCAACACTGTTCCTCTAAGCGCTTTTCACTGTACAACTAAAGACACAGAGCTCATGGGATACTCCATTCCTAAGGTGAGAGAAATGTTTACTACAAGCTTTGGCAGCTTTAGGTGAACATTTGAGTTGTGTTTTTTCTGTTTTCTCCAGGGTACAATGATTGTTCAGAACCTGAACTCGGTACTAAGAGAGGAATTAAAGTGGAAGTTTCCTAATGAATTTAACCCCGAAAACTTTCTGAATGAACAAGGAGAATTTGTTAAACCTGACACCTTCATGCCTTTCTCTGCAGGTAAAAGGTAGACAGTAATGTCCTCTGGAAATAGCATCCAGACATCAATAGAGTAATTTGTGAAAAAACAACAAAGCCCTGAGGTCTTCTTCTGTGCCTCAGGACCTCGGATGTGCCTCGGAGAGGGTCTGGCTCGTATGGAACTCTTCCTCATCACAGTTACCCTGCTGAGGAAATTTACGTTCATCTGGCCAGAGAATGCAGGAGAACCCGATTACACTCCAGTCTTTGGACTCACGCTGACGCCAAAACCTTTTACTATGAAGGTCAAACTTAGGTCAATTTACTGAAGTTGTGCGCAGTTTTTATTAGCATAAACTGAATAAAGTATGTCCTTGAATTCTAACAATAAAAGGTCAACCACTAATATTTCATTGAACTGGCTTTATATTTGATTATTGCATGCATTCCTTGTGGAATTGTTTAATAAGCTTCCCAAAATGTTTTTTTGGTCAGTGTTGCACTAATATTTCAACTGCATTGATGACAATAGAGTATTACAGACTTGTAAAGGCTCCTAATGTACATCTGAATGATTCTCAATGGGCTTAAGGTCTGGACTCTTTGTTGGCCAATCCTTAAATACTCCCAAGTACGTTAAACTATTTTGATAAGTAGTTTATAAACCATTCCGTTTTCCTTTTCCTTCCGAGCAGGAGTTTCTGTCTGTTGTCCTCATTGATGAGCGGCTGTGCTCTTGAAGAGGCCTCTGCCCTCTGCCTGATTTTTCTCCTTTCAGGAGGCAAAATGTGTTTTGACAAACCTCTTCTTTGAGCCTCCTCCTTATTAGCCCATGCAAACAAGATCTCACTTCACATATCGCAATGTTACTAAGTAATATTAGCGCTTTTTTAGGAAGAAATGTTGTGAATTCTTCTGAACTGCAAATGTTGCAGAAATTAGATAATAAGAGAGATGAATCTTGACAGTACCTGTGTGATCATATCTGGGCCAATCAGAAAGAGGCTCACAGATGAGTTTTTTTTCCCGCCCCACCTGTCAAAACACATATATAGTGATACTGTTTTAGAAAAACCTTTCAAGGAAATGTAAAATATGTTGTCGTTAACGTCAGTGAGATTACCATGTTCTGCTATTTGTTTTAGAAAATTACAAGAAGGATAATAAAGACATTTAGGTTTTAATAAATGTGTTTATGTTATTGTATTGTTTCTAATTATGTCAGCACCTGCACTGCAGTCAGAAATCAACGCAGGAGCCAATAAGGTTAACTGCTTTCTTATTTCAGCACTTAGAAGTCATTAAGTGCAAAGACATAGATATAATTCTACCAAAAAAGAATTACACAGAAATGAAACTGTTGCTACTCTCAAATACCAGTGTAGTTAGCTGCCTTTTTCCTAATGTCAAAATAGAGATGGATAACCATTTCTTGATGTCTTGGCTGGTCATTTTGGGTCCGAAAGAATATCCCAACCTTTTCAGGGTGATTTTTATTTTCAACCATTCCTCCTCAGGAATGGTCTGTAATCGGCCTCTTTCCCACAGAAATTAGTGAGCCAACCCGAGTTTTCAAAACAGGATCAACTCACTACCATTCTGCATTTGGCTCCTTTCCCATTTGGCCGAAAAGTTGAGACTGGCCCCCTTGCCAGCAAGCTGCGTGGCCACTGTCCCTCACCACTGCGTGTCAGATCATGGCATTATGCCAGGTTAATGCTGATGAGGTCATCAATGCAACAAAAATCAAGTAAGTCAACAATGGAGAGCATCATTGAAGGGAGACAGTGTGTAGTCATTAGTCTTTATTGTTTTGCTCTATTGTCCATTCTCACAATACGCAAATTGAGCAGATGATGGTTGTTTTCATTGCACAGATGGAACGTAGGCAAAGTGGATCTGTGGTCAAAATGGAAAGGAGTCACAGAAGGAAGAGAAGGAGCTTTTTTGCCTCCATGGTGGTCTTTGCTAATGCTGCTACTGTAATGGTCTTGGCACTGATGGTTGGGGTTTTCATTTCCTCCTGGTCAAATGTCTAATTGTCCCGGCGGCTGATTGACGCAGATCTTTTCCTCCTGGTTCCCTCAGCTATTTGCTGCAGTCGCTGCAGGTCCACAGATCCACAGCAGCCCGTTTCAGTTCTGTTTTGTTTTAATAAATGTTTTGAACTTTCCTACTGACTGTCTCACCTTGAATACTGGGTCCATCTGTCCTGTTTCGTGATAGTAAGCCTAGGTGGGGTCTTCCGGGCCCACCTTGAGACAGTCTTAATCAGGAAGGTTTTTGCTCTCTTACACACATACAGTACCTATAAGAAAAAAACAATGCAATTTCAGCAACTACAGTAGACATTTTATTCTAACAGTTATTCAAAGCTGTAGTTTACTATTAAGAACTAATGAATATGTTGCATTAAGCTTTTTTTTTCTTTTTCCAATGGTTGTTTAAAAATATCAAATCTCTAAGTATTTTTCATTCATTAAATCTAACCAGGATTCTATGGTGTTGGCTGGCATCCTCTTTGTTGTGGTGTGTTTAAGGAAAGGAAAGTTAAGTGGCATCAATGAAACAAAACTCCTGCCTTTTTTGGAAGTCCTGTAAATGCTTAGAAACCAAATTACCCTAATAGAATTAGGTCATATTGGTCCTACATTATCCAGAGTTCACCTTAAAACCATTTTGTAACAGTCATATGTGTTCTGAAGCCTGTAAATGGGGTACGCAAATGAAAAAAAACCCTGCGCAAGGGTGGGAATGCCAAATTGATGCAATCATGCCATCTTTGCCCCCGAGCATGGACTGCCACGCAGCCTCGGCACTAGCCTGCACACCTCCGAATTTTTTTAACTTGGTGCAGGCCATGCACGCCAGCCTCATACCAAATGGGAGAATATAAAGTTGTTCTCAACAAACAAGAATGCCTTTACTGACATCAAATGGTGCATAAGGGTCAAGTTGAGCAGTGCAGTTAAATGCAGTGTTGTTGCTGTTCATTCAGTGACTCCAGTGGGCATAAATGGATGAGTTTAATAATCATAAATTCTTAAAGAAACTGCTGCGCTCGGCAAATTTTGAAGTGGGACGGTGACTGTTTCTTCTCTTGTTTTTTGCACTTTCTATTTAACATGTTGATCACTGCCCCTTTGTGTTTTTTGCAAGTACAGCAACTTTATCCAAGTCAACTATAAAAGGCTACAACGCCTCTATGGGCTCATGAGCGGCACACACAGACCAGTGCGACAAACCAATGTGCAAGAATATTTCAGCCTTTTGCTAATGCGGGTCACCACGCGATCCGTCCTGGAAGCACAATCCCTCCTGCGCATGCGCAAAAAGATATACATCCGGATGTCCACAAATATAACTAAAATGTAATAATGTTACTAAAATCATTTATTTATATCCTTAACTCACTAAATAATGCTAATATAATACACATCTTTAAAAATGTTTTATGACTTTTGAGAGACAATTTTTATGCTTCTTACATTTTCTCTGTTAAACTGCTTCTCTGACGTCATCATCAGACTGTTGGGATGTGGAGATCTGCCGACTTTCTCCAGCAGAGGGCGTCCCTGGGTCTCCTGAGCTGAAGCCACCAGCACACCTGCGGCTGATCATCTCATCAGGAGACCAGCTTTATAAGCAGCAGCTGAACTTCCCTTCAGTGCCAGAGTGTTAAACAGTTATGGTTAGCAAGCCTGAGCCAAACCTGTTGCCTGAATCTCTAACTGCTCTGAAAGCCAACCTGATTCTAACCTGCCTTTGTCCTCTTACTGTACCTTCCTAGGAAGACCTTATCGACTCAGGAGCTCTGGAGGAGCTCACATTCAAAGACCTGCCTGCTCTATGAAGCCAAACCTGAAGATCAACAGTTCTTATCTGCAAGCTAGTTCTCTGGTGAGAACAATGAGATCATCTCAAGGTCTGAACCTCTCAAGTCTGAAGTCAAGCCCTGCCGCTGCTAAACCCTCTGCTGAACCCTCAGTCTCCAGACCCTTCTGGTTCCCTCTCTCCAACGCTCAGTCTGAACTACCATCAGGTACAGATCAATCACAAGCTCTGTCAAGACTCCTCTGCTAGTTGGCTAATCAAACTGTCCCTCTCTGCAGAGAGCCCTGTGTTTCCAGTCCCGGACCCGTTCCAGTATCAGTGCAAATAACTTTATTGTGTTAACTTTCAATAAACAGTTGTTAACTTTTACTCTGACTCCGTGGTGTTCTGCATTTGGGTTGAGCTCCTTAGACCCAACATGACACAGACATGCTCAGAGCAGTCTGGCAAAATATGATTAAACCATGTTTATCTGCATTTTAGTTGTTTCCTTCTTTAGATTATGCACTGTATATCATAAGATTAAAACAAAACGAAAACGTAAAACTCAAAAAGACTAGATTTATGTTTATATTCAAAGCCGAAAAAGTTAGCCACCGGAAGTAGCGTAGGATCCCATTTCTGTTGCAGATCGCCTGATAAAACAGAAAGGATTTTAAGGCATTTGTTCTCTCATGAAATACATTATTAACCTTTAACTCATTATATTTTAGTACGCTTACTATTTTTGGGGAGGGAGAAATGTCATTTAGGTCTTTAACAAAATAAAATTGAGGGCGACCCGGATGTATATCTGGATGCTTATGCGCTGATCGTGCTTCCGGGACGGATCGGGTAGTGACAATGCGTCCTCCTAATGGTCTGTTTGAAAAGCATTTCCCTAATGATGCAATAAGGGGAAATTAGCTGTTCAGAGCGGTCTGTAAAAGCCCATCGGTAAAGCTATGGCCTTCATCTAATGTATTATTCTATGTTCCTAGCCGCTATCTTTACAAACTCTGACTTGTTGTCATTATTAAAGGTTGTGGGGGCATGGCCTTCTGGAAAACAGGGTGTGGAAAGCCAAAACAGCTCATCCAGAGGAGGGGTGAATAAAGCCGGGCATACACTGTGTGATTTTTTTGCCCTTTCGGGCCGACTTTCCAGTTGTGCTTTCAGCCTGATCGTGCATTGTGTGTCGTGTACTGTACAGGGGGTAGTAAGGGGTGATCAGCCTCTCTCAACCACCTCCCAATCAGGAGTCGCGTGGTTGGAAGAAAATCAAACATGTCTGATTTCAGTCAGCCGTCGTGGGCAAATCGCTCACTGGGCTGCGCAAACAAGGATTCTTCTTCTTCCTCTCAGATGAAAACACAGAAGCATGTTCATCAACAAGTAGATGAACGACTTATGTAGCTCTTTTTGCAGAACAGCAATTGGGCCCGGCTTTTCAGTGGGTCAGCCAGACAAACTGGAGACATTCTTATCTGCTTCAGGAGGTGGGTTCACAAAACAA